ACCCCCCCCCCCAGCATGAACTCCACGTAGGCTCTACTCCTCTTACTCCCCGGAATGACGTGGGAGAAAGTGGAGTAGAACTCCACGTAGAGCTCTCGGTAAATGAACTCGTCCACTGCCAGTAGCTGCCTCCACTGGGGGTGACTCAGTATCCCATACATCGCTGCCCGGCATCTGAACATGTTGAACATGTCCAGATCAAGCACCCAATGAGGCACAACCTCACTATATCTCCACTGACCAAACTTGGCCCCATACCGCTCGTGGTTCACCAAGTAACTGATGAAGTTGTGCTCCGTGTCGACCATCATGCAAAGCATTCAAACACACTCCATACATGGAAATAATTGTCAATTACATATCAAGTGGAGAAAAGAATTTCCCCACACTTAGCCTTCCACTACGATCCTATGCCTTGAAGGCTATTCATAAGACCGACTTTTGTACAATTAAGCTTAAATGCACAAAAATCTCACCAAGGCATGGTTCTAGGTGGTTCATCGATTATCTACACAAAAAATCAAACCTAAACCATGCCTCGAGATGTCTTCCAACCATCAATCAAAATCACCGATTCACATTCATTCACATTCTTGCACTTGGTGGGAAATTTTCACATTCAACCACAAATTGTACTCAAATTCATGCCCACCAAGGCTCAATTAAGCTCATGCATCATCAAACATCATTCATTCACATTAATCAGCCAATCCCTCACCCGAATTTCTACATTCAAGCATCAATTCACAAAAAATCACCTCACTTCACACCCTAATCCGATTCTCCAACAAACGATAAGGAAAAAGTTGAAAACAAACCTAGAGATTCAAGTAGGGTCGAGGTGGAAGTGAGGAGAGGGCGAATGGGCCGAAAATGGCACGAAAAACTGGTCAGAGGGGGGTCACCGGAGCCTCGTCGGAAGCTCGATAGAGGCTCGCCGAAAATCGCATCTCCGAAAAAAAATCTAAGCCAAACCTTCCCAAAACTTTGGCGAAGATGCTCCTTGGTGAGGGAAGACTAGGTCTATAATTTTTTTTGGGTTTGGGTGGTCGGAGGTCGCTGAAATCGACGGAAAATCGCAATTTTCCGTCGATATTTGAAATTTCCGGCGAAAAGGGGGAGCTAGTTCACGGATTGAGGAGCCAGTTCATGGAAGGAGGAACCCTTAGTTCATGGAAGGAGGAGCTAGTTCACGGATTGAGGAGCCAGTTCACGGTCATTAAGACTGTGAACATAACTCCCTGCCCGTGAGCTGGGGTTAAACGTTGAGTTTTGAAAACAGGGAGAGCACCCTCAGTTCACGGACGGAGGCACCATTTCACGGTCACTAAGACTGTGAACTGGAAGCACAAACTGTGAACTGGGTGAAAAACAGGGCACTCCCTATTTTTTTGACTCAATCTACTCAACCGTGCCCCAAATTCGATCATACCGCATCCCTAAACACAAAACCACAGAGACTTGGCACGGTGATACACAAATTCGACACTTGAACTCTTCACACTCACAAAAAAGAAAAATAAGGAAAAGTAAACAAATCGTCGTTGGATTGCCTCCCAACAAGCGCTAGTTTAATGTCATTAGCTCTACGTTGCGGATCTATCATGCTTGAGAGCATGAAGCCACCAAGAGTGTATCCGCCACGGTCTTGGAAGCTTGATGAAACCTATCCCTCCACACTCTTTTCTTCTTTCCTCCATGCTTAGTACCCGCCTTGGTTTCATGCACCTCATCATCAAATGGAACACACACACACACTAGTGGGGCTTGCCTTGAGAGGCTCACCTCCACTTTCATTCATACCACTCGAGTTCATTTCTTTCACAACATCATTCTTAACCTTAGGATCAATTGAAAGAGTGAGTTGCTCCTCTCCATCTCTCAAAACCAAAATTCCCTCATTAGCATCGATTAAAGCCTTGGCGATGGCAAGGAAGGGGTGTCCTAGTATGAGTGGCATATCTACATCTTCACTGATATCAAGGATAACAAAATTCGTCGGATAATAAAAATTGCCAACTCTCAGTAGGACGTCCTCCATAATACCCCTAGGACTAATGACAAAGTGATCGAACAGTATGACACAAAGCCTAGTAGCTTCAATTCACCCAAATGCAACTTCTTAAAAAGCTTGTAAGGCATCACATTTGTGCTTGCTCCTAAGTCCGTCAAGGAGTTTTCTATATGATGATTTCCAATGCAAAGAGGTATAGTGAAACTATCTGGATACGGTTGCTTTTTAAGCAACTTGTTGAGGATAAAAGCGGAGCACTCCTCCCCTAAGGTGACATTGGCGAGGTCTTCATATTTTTGCTTCTTGGAGAGAAGCCTCTTGAGGTATTTGGCGTACCTCGGCATGTGCACCATAGCCTCCAAGAATGGAATGGTGATGCGGAGTGATGACTTGATATATACACATGTTTTTATCCACCATTCTTATGCCGTTTGAGCCTCATTTCTCGTATCTTAGGCCGATTTCACGATAGGTTGTTCTCATTTGTGTTATTTCAGGTCCTAGTACGTGATTGGAGGTTTGGGAGCGAGTTTTAGGTCGATTGGACGAAAGTTGGACGTCTGGCGAGAAGCTGAGGAATCAACACAGCCACAAGGGGTCCAATACACGGCCGTGTGGTGTGGCCGTGTGGAATCCCATTATACGGCCAAGCCACACTGGCCGTGTATTGGACCCCTTGTGGCCGTGTGGAAATTCCAGGGAGCTCACACGGTCAGGCTGAGAATCCGCACGATCGTGCGCTTCTGGCTGTGCAGTGTGCCTGAAGACCACTTAATTGAAATGCGGTGTTTTCACATCCACACGGGCAGACTAGAAAGCCACACGGCCGTGTGGCCTGGCCGCATGGTCGGGAAATTCTGGGTTTTAACCCAATTCAGAGCCTAAGGAGAGGGAATCGATTTTCTGGAGCAAAAACAGAGCCCTAGAGAGAGAAAGTGCGAAGAACACCCCCTAAGAGTGGTTTTGGAGCTGGGTTTCGTCAATCAAGCTTGGAAATCATCCTTGGAGTGAAAATCATCATCCCAGAGCAGATTCTTCCCATCTTGATGAGTATGACTGCTTTGTTTGTTGTTTCCTCTCTCTCTATGGAGTAGAACCCTCTCTCACTTGGGTATGTAGAACCCTATTTCTATGTGTTAGGGATCATTATTGTAACGACGTTTGGATCGTTATATTGTTTGATTATAATCGATTGAAGTGTTTTGATTCAGTCAATTGAAGCCTGATCATCTTTTATTGATTTCTGCTGCAACCTGAGATAGATAGAATCTGATTAGGTAGTTAGAGCTTCTTCAATCGGTAGTAGTGAATCGATTATACGAGAGTTAATCAATTTACTGCTTTGTACTGGAATTCAGTTCCAGTAGTGGAGTTCTGTGTTCATAGCCTCAGTTGTCTATCCCGGTGAAGACTAGTCGTCTGCCGGGTAGTTTGACTAAGAAGGCTTGGTCAACTTAAGAGATTCCAAGCTACTGTCCGATCTTCCGCAGTATAATCAACAGTAAAGCAACCAACAGTAATTACAACTGTGACCTAACTAAGGAGCTAGGGGGACTCATTCCCGAGGGACTCTTCCCTTGCTTTAGAAAACTGAACCATTTCCTGCTTTCTTACTTCTTTTAGTTAAAATCACAATCACTCGACTTAGTTTGCTAGATAATAAATAATCACGGAGTAGGCAGTAGATCTAGACCCCGGGTTGACAAATAAAACTTGCTACTAGTCTGCATTTTCGGACTGCGATTACGCTTGGTCGCAGTTTGGTGTTGTGTCATAGCGTGTAAAGTTTTTTGCGCCGTTGCCGGGGACCTCTAGGTTATTGTGACAACGTGAAAGTTTATTACTTTAGCCTTTTCTTTACTGCACTTTCTCTCTTCCACCCGTGTGCCTTCACGGGTTTCTTTTGCTGACTGCGTTCAGGTAGTGCTTGACCCGTAGCCAGTCGGGAGATTTACTGCCATTAGACTAAGAGTTTGAACGGACTTGCAGAAACTTCAAGCGGGCTTTAAAGGCGCGACTGGCTCCGGAGGAGGCTCTAGCACAGCTGCAAATCACCGAGGAGGAAGAAATGGGTGAACCACAGAACAACGATGTGGTCTTTCCCAAAGAGCAGACCATGGGGTACTACTGGACCGCTAGAGCCGCGGACATGAGGTCGCCCATCCAGCACCCTCAAGTTCCAGCAAATAACTTTGAGGTGAGCACCTCTGTCATCACCATGCTGCACGGCTCGGTGGTATTCCGTGGCAAGGAGGGGGAGTGCCCCCGATCACACCTGAGGCGATTCCACGAGCTCATCGATGGGATCAAGATCAATGGGGTCCCAGCCGATGCCATCCAGCTCAGGTACTTCCCATTTACTCTAGAGGGGCAAGCCAAGGAGTGGCTGGACACTCCGCCTCCAGGCTCGATTACCACGTTCGCCAACCTGGCGGATAAGTTCCTCACCCGCTACCATCCTCCGTCCAAGACGGCGGATCTGCAGAAGCAAATCACTCACTTTGCTCAGGATGAAGATGTGACCATTCAGGATGCTTGGGAGAGATACACCAGTCTTTTCCTCAAGTGTCCCAACCATGGTTGTACCAACACCTTCAAGGTGGGCACCTTCTACCATGCCCACTAGTCTGCATCTCCATGAATCCTCCACACTCCTCCTCCAATCGATCCTTGTTTATCCTTGTGGGGAAAGGAAGAGGAGGCTTGTACTCAGCCACTTGTGGTGGCGTCGACAATGCCTTCTTAGGCTCTTCTTCTATTTCTCCCACTTCTTTGGGATCATTGACCGTTGGAGGGGTCTTCTCATCTTCATTCACTTTCGTAGGAACAACCTCCGGGGTAACCTTCCCACTCCTCAAAAGAATAACATTGCAACCGACATTTTGATCTTTGGGGTTGACAATGGTTTGAGAGGGTAGGGATCCCCTTGGCCTCTCGGTGAGGATCACGACAAGATTGCCAATTTGCACCTCCAACTTTTGAAGGCTTGCTTGATGGCTCTTTAATCCCGCCTCAACCGAGGTAAAATTTACCACATCCATAAATTTCTCAATCTTCTCGAACTTTTGAGTGCTCGTGCTCACAAAAGTGGTCACAAGGTCTTCAAGCTTTGCAAACTTGTCGGTTTGTTGGAACCCTTGACCTCCTTGAGCTTGAAATGGTTGTTGGAAGTTAGAGCCTTGGAATTGCGGCCTTTGTTGAATGAAAGTAGGCCTTGGTTGATAATTTCCCATTGGTCATTGGAAACCAGGGTGTCTTGGATTGGTAGGAGAAGACCAAGAGAAATTATGATGATTTCCCAACCCCGGGTTGCAAGTGTTGCTATAGGGATTGTTCTGCCTAGCATTGGCAATGAAACTCACTTCCTCCTTGGCAGTGCTTGATTCCTTCATCATTTGACAATCCGAAATCTCGTGGTTGGTACTTGAACACCAATCACACGCCATCACCACCCTCTTCCCATGCTTCTTGTCCTCTAGGAGTGCCTCAATCAAACGGTCAATCTTGGCTTCAAGCGGGGGACTCACTCCTACACTTTTCACTCCCCTTGTAGTGCTTCTCTTTCCACTTCTCGTCAAACCCCAATCATACCCTATACTTTCCATGTCTTCAAGCAACTTGGTCACATGGGTTGTAGTCATGTTCATCAATTTCCCTTGACATAAGGAGCCAATGAGGATCTTGTCGTCTTGGTGGAGACTGTCATAGAAGGTCTCAATCTGGAATTGCTCCTCGAATCCATGATGTGGGCATTGGAGGAAGTAATCAGAGTACCTTTCCCAAGAATCCCTCAATGTATCATCTTCCTCTTGCTCAAAGTGGGTAATCTTCTTGCGCCACTCCGTTGTCTTTGAAGGTGGGCGATACTCAATCATAAACTTGCTGAGCATGTCATCCGACGAAGTGATCGAGAGAGTCGGCCTATTGTTGAGCCACCAAGACGCATTCCCCACAAGTGAATAGGGGAAAGCCTCAAATTCAAAGCATCTTCGGGCACACCATTAATCTTCAAACTCCATGCAAGTTCAATGAACTTCTGAACATGCTCCCTTGGAGACTCGTTGCTAAGCCCATGGTAAGAGGCCATTGTTTTGAATCATGGTGACAAGGGTAGGCTTGATCTCAAAATTGTTGGCGGCCACGGGTGGATGTTGAATGGCGGGTTGAATATCCGCTAGCCTTGGAGCCATGTAGTAGCCCATGGTCCTTGGTTGCTATAATAACACCAAACAATCTTTTCAAAATAATGAACCGTTTGCTCCCCGACAACGCGCTTTTGACTACATTGCCGAATACCACAATAGAACTCCCAATTAAGACCCAAGTATAAACCTTAACTGGGTGCAGTATAGGGCAAGTATGTTTAAATATCGACCCGGGCCGATTCATGTACCCCTACTTCGATTGGTTGTAACATTATCTAGCGTTTGATTTTTAGTGAAAACAACAATCTATAGCTAAAACGTTTGCAAAAGTAAATGGATTTGACACTAATTGAGAAGGCTTCACCGGGTGTTGCTCCCCCTAGCTAACAATTACGACTTGTTGGATCGAATGATCGTGTGTGGTAAAGGGGTTTTAAACCGTAGGGAAGTGCAATAAGTAGCCAAGCGCCACTCTCTCGGTCTATATATCGAGGGAAGGGAATTAGATTCAAGCCACCAACGTGAATCTCTTGACCTATTGACTAAGGGTTGGTTAGACTTCACCCTCGATTCGGAGTTTGGACGGTCACCCACAACCAAAACCTAGGTGCTAATACGAGGTTTCCCTGCATTAACTGATTCGGGCCTAAATGTACACTTTTTATCCCCGTTTCTCTTTGGCGTTTGTGGCATTTGAGCTCCTAAAATGGTGGTTTTACTCTAGGTTTCTTGTGTTTCAATGTGTTTCAAAGACTAACAGGTGAAACCAACCCCGGAGTCAAAAGTTGGAAGAAAAGGCGCAAAGACCGGGCAAAAAGGAGGATCCAGCCGCAGTTCACGGTCTCTAGGACCATGAATTGGAACCACAAACCGTGAACCGCAGAGAGTCCAGAGGAGTTTCAGAGGTTACTGACGCCGAGGCAGTTCACGGTCGTAAGACGGTGAACTGGAGCCATGGACCGTGAACTCCATAAGTGAAGCAGGGCGTTTTGATCTATGTTCACGGTCCTACCCTGATGTTCATGACCATGAACTGGGACCGTGAACTGGGCGCGATCTGTGTATAAATTTAGAGCCGAAAGGAAGAAGAAGGGGGAGCCCAAAGGGAGAGAAACCTTCTTCTTCTTCTTGAAACCCTAGAGAGAGAAAGCACGAACCAAGAGGGAGAAGAGGCTAGGGTTTTGCTCCAAGTGAAGATTTGGAAATTTCATCTTCAAGAGAGGATCTCTATAAGCACAAGGAGAGTTGGAGGCATCACAATGATTGTTTCTTTCTTCTTCCTTTGTGTTCTTCCTTTGTCTAGCATGGAGTAGTCTCCCTTTTCACTTGGGTGTTGTAGAACCCTAACTTTTACCATGTAATTGATTGTGTGGATTGAATGATTGTGTGATGGTGGTGTTTAATTTAAGAATTGAGGTATTTTTCATGGTATTGTGCATTGTGTGTGCTTGGCAATCTATTGTGCTATTCTAACCTAGCTTAGAGAGAAGCCCCCTTATCTTAAGAGGCTCAAATTGAGCTGGTTTTTCTTAGGCATTCCATGACTCCTAACTAGGTTATTGAAGGGCGAACCTCTAATCTCGAATTAGACACCTAGGTTAAATGTGATTATGCCGTCCAAACCTTGGTTTGAGGGAGAAGGTAAGTCAACCCTCAATTGCTTGGGCCAAGTGGGCCACAATTGTAGCCTATAATGCTTTCCTTGGCCTAGCAATTGAGAGGATGGTTTTTAACCATTGTTGCACCTCATATGGGTCACAATTTCCTTGTCACACACTGATTCATTCGATCCCACAGTTCATGGTAGTTAGTTAGGGGGAAGCAACTCTCGAGTGAAGCTTCTCACTAAGAGTTTTCCACCCTTTTACTTTTCAAGTCTTGCTTTTAAATAGTAGATTGTAGAGATTTTAACAAACAACATTCCGCTAGATAATGTTTCAAACAATTGAAGTAGGAGTACATGGGCCGGCCCGGATTGATATTCAAACATACTTTCCTTATATTGCACAGATATGAAATTTATACTTGGGCCTTAGGTGGGATTTTATTGTGATATTCGGGTTGAGTCATTAACCTAGATAGGAGACAACGAATCGCCTAAGAAAACCCAACATTCAAGCTTCTTTCAAAGAAAGGAAGGGGGTTTTCTCTCTACCTAGGTTAGAATGGCAATTAGATTGATAGGCTTTCACACAACACAATCATTCATGAATAATACCTCCACATTCACATTAAACACCACCACACACAAATCATTCAAACCATACAAACATTCACATAATTGTAGTTAGGGTTTACAAACATCCAGTGAAAGAAGGGACTACTCCATGATAGGAGAAGGGAAAACACAAGAGAGAAGAAGGAAAACCATCAATGAGATGCTAGCCTTGCTCCTTGTGTTGAAGAAATCCTACTTTGGGGGAGGAATTCTCAAATCTGTGCTTCAAGATGAAACCCTAGGTTCTCCTCTTCTTTGGTTCGTTGTTTTCTCACTCTAGAAATCTAAAGAAAAAGAAGAAGTTTCTCCCACTAGGTCTCCCCTTTTTCCTTTCAACTCAACTTCCTTTATATATCCAGATCAGGCTTAGTTCACGACCGTGAATTAGAAACCCAGACCGTGATCTCAAATCAAAACGCGGCGCATCACTAATTCCAGTTCACGGATAATGGCATGAGTTCACGGTCTTACGACCATGAACTGACTCGTGTCCAGTGAAAGCAATTTGTGCTCTGGATGACTGTTCACGGGTAGTGCCTCCAGTTCACGGTCTTAGTGACCGTGAACACACAGCCCAGACTGTGATCTACTGCTGCTTCCACCCTTTGACTTGATTTTTTGCCCTTTTGTCCAACTTTTGACTCCGGGGTTGGTTCCACCTGCCAAAGTCTGAAAAACACCAAAACAAGGCAAAACCCGGCATAAAACCAAACCTCCCGGAGTAAAAATGCTTCAAACGACAATGCAAATCGGGGGTAAAAAGTGTACAAATGAGTCCGAATCGCATATTGTTAGTTATGTACCTTTAAAATATATTTTTTATAATTAATTTCATGAAAATACTCACTTAGTTGTCAAACGCAGCTAAATCAAATCATAAACGAACACAGAACACGGGAATTACGTGGTTTCCCCAACGATGAACGTTGAGACTACTCCACGGCACAAAGGCGATTTAGGTTCTCTTATTCAACAATGTTCCAAAATACCGTACACATAGTCTCAAAGGACTTTATATATGCGGCTGATCCCAAGCCCTATTCCGGACAACACATGGCTAACATAAGTTCAATAATTACAAATTTGGTACCCAAAGTTATCACTTCTAACACCTTCCCCCAAATTGATGTTGCTGACGCAACATCAATTTGTGAGCTAGAAAACAATGGCTAGCAGAAGCCACAACCTTGGTCAATAGATCCACCGTTTGATCTTCAAAAGTAATATAAGAAAGCTCAATGATACATGTCATGACCAGCTGCTAGATGTAATGGACATGAATCTCTATGTGTTTAGTCTTATCATGAAAAACATGATTAGTAGCAATGCGGATATCACTCGTGTTATCAGCATATAGATGAATAGGAAGAACACAATGGACACCCAAATCAGCTAACCGTCATTGAAGCCACACAATTTTGGATGTGACCTCACTCATGGAACGATACTCTGCTTCTGTATAAGATTTAGAAATTCTCTCATGCTTCTTGCAGCACCAGGAAACAAATGACTTCCCAATCTTCACACACCAACCAGAAGTGGAACGTCGGGTAACCAAACAACCCGCGTAATTAGCATCTGCATATGCCTCCATAATAGGCTCACCACTTGAAGGAAAGAACATACCTACACTCGGTGTACCCTGAAGATAGCGCAAAATGCGCTGAACTGGAAGCCAGTGTGTTGTTCGTGGAGAAGCCATATACTAACTAACCACCTGTACAGCATAAACAATATTTGGCCGAGTATTAGTCAAATAAATGAGACTGCCAATGATACTATGATACATAGTACCATTAGGTAACGGATCTCCGACATCCTGGAAAAGTTTGAGATTATGCTCCATGGGGGTACCACACGGCTCACACTCATCCATATGAGACTCTTCCAGAAGATCTGCGACATACTTGCGCTGACTCGCATGCAATCCTATTGCATAACGAGTAATTTCCATCCCCAGAAAATAAGATAAGTCCTCAAGTTCTTTGATCTACTTTTGAATTGCCTAAACAAGAACTTCATGTGAGAGGTGAAAAGCATTCTGCATATCTGCAGTTAGGACCGAAAGCCCTCCTCATCGTCTCCACTAATGACCATGTCATCAACATAAAGCAATAAGACAGTGAGCCCATTCACAGTATAGCGAAGAAAAAGGGAAGGATCATTATCACTCTAAACAAACCCAGAATTAAGAATTGTCGACTGAAACTTCTCAAACCACACTCTAGGTGCCTGCTTTAGGCCATAAATAGAACACCACAATACACATACCATCGAACACCCTTAGTATAGCCAGGAGGCCGCTCCATGTAGATAGTTTCCTTTAGATCCCCATGTTAGAAGTTATAACTTTGGCTACCAAATTTGTAATTATTGTAATTATGTTACCCGTGTGTTGTGTGGAATATGACTTGGGAGCAACCACATATATATAGTCCTTTGAGACTATGTGTACGGTATTTTGGAACATTGTTGAATAAGAGAACCTAAATTGCCTTTGTGCCGTGGAGTAGTCTCAACGTACATCATTGAGGAAACCACATAAATCTCGTGTTCTGTGTTCGTTTATGATTTGATTTAGCTGCGTTTGACATGGTATCATAGCCTCTCCTCTATTTCGTGGTATAGTTTGGATTCCTCGGTGCGCGCTGCCTTCTTTCCTTCGACAACGTCTTTCTCTTCGGTGAATTGTGGCTGCTACTTGTGTTACTGTCGCTGGGTACTTGCTTTCTTGTCCCGTTAGGTTATTCTTGTGCCCACAATTTTGGTCCCTCGACTTTAGCATTGCACAGCTATTTTTCGGGTTTCAACATCCGGTGATTTTTAGGTGTCTCATGCCTTCTTCTGGGAATTATCTAGGTCTCAGTGATTTTGTCTGCATCTTGTTTTTTTTTTTTTTTTTTTGTGAATTTGTGTGGTGGCTGCATCTTTGTGTGAGGCTTGTCAACTAGTGGGGCTTCTTTTTATGTAGTGATTCTCTCCTGGTGGGCTTCTTTTGTTTGGTGATTGTCGCCTGGTTGGGGGCTTATCATTAAGTTGATTATCATGGAGGGTGCGGAGATGGATGTTCCTTCTGTTCGGTTTACATAAAAGAATTTCCCACTTTGGGAATTGCAATTTTTTGTTTTTGTTCATGGCGTTGACACGCTATGACACAACACCAAATTCCGACCAAGTATAATCGCAGAGTGGAAATGCAGAATAGTGGTTAAGTCTAATTATCGAACCGGGATCTAGATCTACTTCCTACTTAGTGAACTCCTATATCCAACAGGACTAAGAGAGTGTAATGATTTCAGTGCAAAAGAAACAAAAAGCAAGTAATGGTCTGGTTCTTTTTAGGTCCAAAAGTTCATCCGGATATGGTTCCCCCCTACTGTGCAACTAGTTTTGGTTATACGGTCCCAAATTACTCAGATTGATAGATAAACCGCGAAAAGTTCTTTACTAGTCTGGAATCTCGATTAAAGTTATCCAGACCCTCTTGGTTTGAATACCCGGCGGACGACTAACCTCCACTGCATATACTAACCAAGGTTAAACACGCAAAACTTCCACTACGGGCCTTTGTTGCAGTACGAAGCAGTGAATCGACTTCTCGACTAAAGTAGTCGATTCACCACTTTCAATTAAAGGTTACTATTTTAACCTATGCAGAGACCATCATTCCAGGTTAAAGCCGGAATTACACAGGTTTGATCAGGACTCATGCAACTCTGAATAATGCTTCAATTGAATTTATCCAATCAATCATTCATAACATGGGCTTCATGTAATCATTCCTGACATACACATCTAGGTTTTTCATACCCAGATGAAAT